CTTGAGCTCAAGTTTGTCAATTATTTATTTAATCTCATAGAACGGAAAAACTGGATGCCATTTATTCCAGTGGAGACCATTATTTATTTATTTTACTCGCTCTTACTGTCTCTGCCAATATTCCTTCCATTTGACAAGTATTCATGTGGAATCGTTATTATGGCTGATATTATTTATGTCATCTATTCTTTCCTATTTTGGCAACAGTTTTAGCAAAAATTTTATAACCCTTCCAATACAACAGGCGAAAAATTTGTTAAATCATTTCGACGTGTGCTAAATATGGGGATCGACAAACGAGAGTTGACATATTTGACGTCAAAGATAATGCAAACGGTAAATGGGAAATGGGGAGTTGAAAATGGAGCCTGTGAAACTCGTACAATTTTCCTTTTAACAGAAACTGCGAATTGAATCAAGTCATAACATGATGTCAAATGCAGAGGGGCCACACATGTCGTGGGCCCATGAATGTATGTACCGAAATTGGGTCAGATATTAGTAGACTAACTTTCCAAGTGGGTGGGAGCCGTAGTTATCGAAAAGAGATTTGGTTCATCCCACTCACAATATTGGATAATATTCCTCAGCTAACTACTTGCGCCATTAAGGCACAAGTATTGAATGACCAATTTCAATTCAATTTCCATCCTATTCTCATTCGAATCCAATCTAACCTTAAGTTACATGGATTTGAAATGCATTAGGTGGGCGGTGTTCAGAGTAAGTATAGTGGGTGGATAAACCCTCGTTTCCACGCTGGAAAATATTTTTACTTGGCCTGCTCACAAATGTCCTGTTTGTCACCAACAAATTATGTATCTCGCACAAATTAGTATAAAAAATGCTAACCAGTTTCTAATTTGAAAAGCACTTTGAAGTGAGTTCCCCAAACAAATCAGTCACAGAATTTGCAAAATATATAAAAACGAGTACATTGCCCATGATTAATTCAAAAGATACGCACTGTAAGGTACTGGCATTCCTGCATTTATATGCTAATGATTAAAAGAAGAGAAAAAAATACATTACTGTAATCAACTTAACAAATTATGTATGTATACGGAATATGTTTGAGTCACATTTTGCATGAATTATTGCTATCATAAAATTCTTACCTAATCATCAGTAAAAAAAAAATAATAACAACATACGAACGGAAATGAATGTCGAATTTTATGGAAAGTAAAATGTGAATACAAATTAGAAATATATATTTTGCATACAAAGGGTAAAATATTGTTTACTGATGGTGAAAAGTAAGAGCGGTAAGCATATGGTACCACTGAAACACGGAACTGTAATAAAAAAAATTCCAGAACAACCAACAAAAAATAGTTGCACATGCACCACCAACGGTGCAATATTTTAGTTATTCATCCTTCATGACTCAAATTAAATGACGTGTTAGTTTTGAGCTGCACTCCGATGCTATCAAAGATCTACACCCATATTTCTGCATGAGGGGAACTGCAGCGAGTAAACTGTTGAGATCGAATATGGAAATGCGAGTTTATGTAGTTTATTGTCCTTGCTATGCCTCCCGACCACGAAAATATGCACATGTACACACTTCACCTTTCTCCTCGTGCGTTGGCCAACCACGGTAAATTATTTCGCCGAGTGAGATGTTAATTAGAGTGGTCAGGAGGAATTTATTTATTCGTGCAACATTCTAAAAATGCTCCCTATTCAGTGGTTCGGTTCAAGACTGGCTTTCATAATAAATATGGAATGGTGGCCTCACATTAATAAAAGCAGCTATCGAACGGAATACCACAACCGACTCTTTAGAGGCGGCTGGAATAAATTTTGCACATTTTCGGAGAACTTTTGACCTCTTCGTCGCTCTTTATCAGGAAGGCAAAGCAATTGGTAGTCATTATACTTTGACTTTTGCTTCACAAAAATATTTCTTGGTGCTAAATGTGGCTGGCGAAGGAAAGAAGTGGTTTTATGGATGGAAAGCACGCTAGCTAGGTGCACCAATCTTTGGAGCACGCCTAGCTCCAAGTAAGAGACCCCCTGATAATGTGTGCATATCGAATTTCCCTCCGTGTGCCCTGTACTCTTACTGATATGAACTCAGCTCTGCCAGAGACTTTACCTTTTTACGGCACATGATTTGGCGAATTACTCAACGTCCAATGTTTACTTCCTTAGATTTCCATATTTTGATAAGAAACTTGGGAGAGAGGAGAAAGGACGTAATTGTGGCAGGGGGCGGTATCTCGCTTCACTTCTTTCTTTGTGTGTTGTGCTTTAGCAAACTTTGTTTGGACATTACTTCTCCCAACGCACGGCTTTCACCAGATAGGAACTCCACGTCTCCTTGATTAAGCCGTAATTTTCTGAAATTTGCGGAAATCCATTGCTTAAAGTAGCTGGGCCCATTACTGTATAGAGTTACGTACAGTGTCACCATGCGGGAAAATCTTTGGCTACTCCTACACAAATAAATATGCATGTGCCTTAGATATTGCACAATTCATAACCGCCTTAATTTAATTTAATTTATAATATAATTAATTTGTCTCGGTGTATCTCGTACGTTAGCAGTACAAATATATTACTAGCGTTGAAATTCGTATGTATGCATTCCAACGGCTAACTGTCAAAGTGAAGAAATAAGAAACAAGGACAACGGCAATATGTAGGTATTGCACACAAGCTAAGAAGCTAAAGGGCTGGTATAATTAAATTCGGATGTACACAGATTAATTTAAGAGTTCTTTTGATGTGACTTCTCCATTTGATATTACAGTTTGATTCGCAATCCTGATATGTTCTCACTCACGCTTGTTGAGAATGGTTTGATCACTTGATAGCTAGTCAAATAGAGCTGATTAAATTTGAATGACATCAAAAAGACATTTGTCTTGAAATACTGCAGGAGTATTCTCTTTCAATTCGTGTTCGCTTAAATGATTATTTTGTCGTTTGAACTTTGAAGATTTGATAAAGTTGAATCATCAATTTCGAATTTCGGATGTGGTCAACATCCACACAATTTCTGACCATAGTTGGCTGGAGTCTGATTTATTTTCTGTGCACTCAGAAGGAGCATCTCCGTAATAAGTTGGGCACGTCTTCGAACCATGGTGCACCGGGTGAGTGGGCGCAAAGGGAAATGGCATCTCTCCAAGGAAGTGATAATGGTTGTGGAACTGTGTTCCGAGGTGAAAGTTTTAGCGTGTTTGTGAAAGACCGAAATTCAAATTAGGAGGTCCGGACTCGGAATCGGACCATTCTTCATTCAACAATAGGCCTAAGCCCAAGTGGTCCAAATATATTACACCGTTTCCTCTCTGATCTCTCGCGAAATCTTATCTTTTCTTCAATTCAACATTCATGGAACCTTTCTTTGTTGTTCGGTGAACTAGTTTCATTCACTATTGTCGAAAACAAGGCTAAATTTATTTCTTAACAATGGAAGGAAAATGAAGACAACCAAGTTCTTCAAATGCGAGTTTGTGCCTTAAATGACCACCAGATATGTCTCCCTTGTACTTGGAACACATTTGAAGTGTTTGCAGGACTAAACTTGAAAGTTTTTATGAAGGACAGTTCAATCTCCAGCTGCCCATTTGAAAACTCAAACTTTTTGATTGTATCCGGACAATACATTGCATAACATTCTAATAATATCGTATATATGTATACTATGAGTGCTATAGAACAGTTGGGTTCCATGATCTAAACTGCAAAAAATATCAATTTGATGTCGTTATGCAAATAGTGCACTCTTTAAAAACCAAGACACAAAGTGTGAAGTAGTTTTTTTGATGACATTGTTTCTTCCCTTAATCTAATCCTAGTGAAAAGTACTGCTTGGGCTTAGGATTAGTCGGCACCCGTAGTTAAGTAAATGTACTATTTAATAAATTTTAACACATTATCTGTTTGCATAACTCCCGTTACCAGAATTTGGGTTGACCTTGTTGCTGAAAAACCTACATATTTGTTGTAGAGGGTCAAATGACCTCTTGTCATGATAGGAATTCGTGATGATGTAGAAATCAGGTCTTTTGCATTCCAGTTGCCAGGGACTAGCTTTCCAAATGTGTACATACACAGTTTACTAAACTCTCGCTCGAACCAGCCTCGTCCTGCCCTGTTTGGTGGAGACGACAAAACTGGAAATGCCACATTTTTCGGATTTCACCTATAACAATAAGTGAAACTGCCCAGTATTTGAAAGGGTTGATATTTAATAGCATTTGGAATATCAGCATAGTTACCACATAAGAAATACGAGATCATCGTTATCAATATGGCATCCTTTGTTATTCTGGAAATATAATTGTGCGTCTCAAATATTGCTAATATTATTCGAGTTTGTGAAAGTTTGTTGACTACGTCGCATGAGGAGTGAATAAGCAAAGTGTGTAAAGTATCATGTTTACACACAACAAAATAACGTAATGGAGATTTATGTTATGTGGAAGCATAATAATAATGATGAATTTTATGAGACATACCATATTACTTCCTGGCATTGGACCGTTTGAGGTTTCTTTGAAGAAAACAGAGAGAGAGAAATGCGTCTCTCTCTTCTTCTCGCTTTTACCACTTTATTACTGTAACTCAACAAGAATGAAATGTTGCCACTAAACTGGGAATGCATTTGGAAATTAAATGGGCCATAGGGCATTCACTATTTATTACTAGTTACGAACGTTATCATGCTGCCTGTTGTGATTTACATTTTATGACTCAGAAAATAAGTTTGCTGAGTTAAAAAGTGTTGCAAAATGTAAAAATTCTTGAGAAATGGTTGCGTCAATATTTGTGGAAATGACAGGTTCTATAGTAGATAGAAATATGGAATTCAGAAAATATGCCAAAGATTTCATGTTCGCTATTGGTAGGAGACGCCTGAAATCTATATTTACTTATGTACGTAGATCAAAAGCCTCGGGTCTCCTCTATATATTTAACCACATGTAAAAATGATTTTTTTTTGGATTTAACTATATTATTTTGTTTGCTAATTTCAGAGCCGGTAACGGAAGTTGCAGGAGGTAAGATTTCATCTCTTTTGTATATAGTAATAAAATTTCATACATTTCGGATTTTATAGTCACACTAAATATCTATTTATGTACATATGTAATATGCACAAATGTATCTATATTGGAAGTTTCTAAATGCTGCATGCTTTTTCAGTCCAAAAAAGAATGAACATATATTGGTTAAGTCTATCAAGTTATTTTTGATTGAAAGAAACTTGGTTGCAAACCAATTATTCGATTTTTATTGATTAGTTCAGACTTGTGCAAGTTTTCTATTCCTCTTCATATTATTATAATACTTACGGATGAGCATACATGTAAATATGTGTTTTGTGGATTCTTTAAAGACCCAGAAGACGTCTGTACACGGCATTTTGAAATTCAATAAATGAGATCAAACGATTGTGTATATTCCAGGTCCAGATCTGTATATCGACCGTGGGAGCACAATCAATTTAACGTGTACGGTTAAATACTCGCCCGAGCCACCTCACTATATCATTTGGAATCACAACAATGCTGTAAGTCGTCTTGCCATCCTACTCTTCAAAAATTATTACAAAACTAAAAATTATGGATTGGATTATACTGAAATGACCAAACGTAAATATTTGCAAAGATGACGAAACTCTCAGCTATTCACTTACGATGCATATACTTATATACATATGTATGTATATTGAAATGTGTATACTACATATAATATAAGTTGTGCAACAATATGCGCGCTTCGGCTAATTACTCATGTCAGATTTTAATTGGTTGTCATCGCTCAACTTGACAAGCAGGTCACGATTATACATATTTAATATGAAACACTCGTCGCCATATTGCTGACATTAGGATTGTTATCACTCATAAAATAAAATAAGCCTCGTATACAATCCTGTGTAAAAATCCATGTAAACTTGGAAATTAAATTAACATGTACACAAAAGGCGTTTACGGTATTATGCACAAGATTCTTCTCACACATTTGCCTAGATTAAATAAGTAAGTCAGTTGTTGAGGCAGGAAAAATACCGTTATATAAATTGCGTTACTTTTGATTCAAAGTGAGCTCAGTTTTGCTGGAAGCTTGGCATAAAGCAAAATGAGCAAATTCTGGTTTATTTGTTCTGAGGCTACCCGTGCCTGCATTGCGCCACCGTCTCCAGAGTAGCCCGCTTTTACCCATAACCTTGTTTCATTATTCGATTCCTAGTGTCCCAACCTCTAGCAATCTGCAGGAGTACATGTGAGACTACAAAAACTGTGCCATTAAATTTTGCATCAAAAATTGCTCTTCTTCTTGTACAATCTGATTTTTTACTCTCCCCTCACTTCGTCTGGTTGGCTGTAATAAAAACCATGTGCTATCAACTCTTGGCCAAGAAACATTCATGATCATAGCATCCAGTCTTTGTCGTCAACCGTCTCACTCTGGGGCGGTATGCATGTGAACTGGAGCATTTAATAGCAGCTGACTTCTCGAGAATGACCACTGTGCGACACTGCTCCTTCCGGTTCGACTAAGCACGCTGTCGTGTCAGTTGGATTGGACAATCGAACATTTCGACATGCATGATTTTATATGTTTAGTTGTACGTTCAGCAGGGGCAGCAAGCGACTCCTTCTACTTTTTCTACCAAATGGCAGAGAAAATAGATATTTTGTAATAAATATGACAGAAATTTATATTTTGCTAATTTTTTTATTGTCGTTTGTTAAAAACCTACAGTGCTGACTTGCTTAGACCGAGTCAGTCATTTCATTCGTCTCTTTCTTAATCGAAAAGAACCGGTCACCCTCTCTGGGCCCCTTGACTAATATTCCTTTCCAAAAGTGGCACCAATTTCCCAATACATGCATTGACCATGCAAAATTTTATGTTTTTTTCAAGCACTTTCAAAAACCAGTGTATGTAACTCTTTTGTGTCATAGATTTCAAACCAGGGTTGTAAACTGATATCTATCAACACTTGAATAAAGGTTGAAATGAAAATGAAATGGATGGTCACAGAGACTAAAACTATTTTTAGTGCTGATGCAAAACTTGTGTTGGCTTTCATCACTTTCACGTAATTTCACGTTTCTGGGACAATTTCTAAAATTTTGTGCTGTTTATCCCAATCACCTAAATGCCCTCACATTTCATGTCATTTAATATCTAGTTGGTCAAAATCGATTCAGGGGCTCGTCCGCTAGTATGTCCCAGACACACCCACATACAGACAAACCGGTTCCATTAGCCCGGACTCGGGGTAAAACAGAATTTATGTGGTCAATGTATATTTGTCTTTTGAATTGTGCCAAATCAAAATTGGCTACACAACCATTTTGAATCGCTTTTTCCCATGTTCATGCCTATGGTGACTTATGACCTGTCCTTTGTAACTAATCTTGAGACGTATCGTTGCTCAGAGTTTCAGATGTAGGAGCTGATTCAAAGGCACACACTCGTGGAAATAAGTCGATCGTTGACAAATGGACTTAGTCCATTTGTTCCGATGGACTTGTTCCGATTTATTTGCACTTAGGCTCAGAGGAGACTGAGACATTAAGCTAAAGCACATGTTGGCGTTTACATGCATCGTCATCTATCTCGTGGACACAGACATTGCCAACGAGCGAACTTTTTTCTTTGGCATTTCCTTATGAGCATGGATACATGTAACAACAGTACAATTAATTATGCCCGCATGTTCATCTCTAAACAATCGTCCAAAAAACTGCAGATTTTCTACTTGCCAATCATCAGAGAAAGACCATAGCCGTATTTATGTAGAGAGCTACAATGATCATGCAGGAACATGTTGATGTAACTATTTAATAAACACATATCACTACGAACACTGAATTATGAGTACTTAGTTTATAAATAAACACATATTTACGTATTTACCAAGTGACATCAGAAGGGAGCTTCTTATGTTGCATACATATATTTTGTAGTTTTAGTAAAAATAATAAGTTACATAACCAACTATAATTAGTTCAAATTTTTATTTTTATTTAACGCAATAAAGAACATAAAGTCATTGAAGGTGAATTTGGGCGTAGCTGCTGTAAACATATGGATTGCACGGTTCTCAGACTCACACATTTGTTTTCAAACGCATGAAAAAAATCAAGCAAATTTAAACAAACTTTGAAGCATACAATCCTTTTGATGTGTTGCCTGCTTGGATTGCAAAAGATAAAACGTGTAAGGACACAACGGTTGTGCCGTACATTCGACTCTCCGCCATGCATCTTTTCTCTGACAGTTTGATATATACTGAGAATAAATGAGGAAGCATGCCTTCCGATGCTCATGCAAATACACCATCGCTTCACTATGAACAAAACTACAACCATTTTCACGAAATTATTACAGTGTCCAATTTTTGTAGACATTTTAGCAAATGCCGTGACAAGTTTTTTTTCAGCCAGACGAGTGAAAGTGAAACATGATCTCCCGAAAAACGTGCCGATTCCTGAACAGTCTGAAAGGAAGGGTGAACGTATAGGATACATTTGGAGGGACCTGGATGATGAATGTCCGTGCATGAGCAAGATTCAAAAATCTCGAGTACCCAGACCCTGGGCGGGAAGTGGGAGATCATGGAGTGGCAGTATATCTATTTGGGAGGAGGGGGAGGAGGATTGAGTCGAGTGTCGGATGAAGTGTATGTGTGAGGAGTTGGAGCAAAAGCCTGTTCGCAGCTATGCATGAGAAATGCGAGTTGCTGAGCTGGATGAAATTGGACCATTCATTCTCATATTATTGTCCCAGAGAACTCTTGTGAAACTCTGGGCAAGTTGACAGGCAAGGCTATCATCACTTTGTAGTTTGTGCAGTAAGTGAAAGTAGAGGCAGGACATGCTTTCGCTTGGCTGGGGGTGTGCAGAAATCCAGAGAAATTAAATCCATCTCAGACTTTCAACTTTTACTTCATAAAATGCAAATTCGAAACTTTCACTGAATCCATTTCAAAAAATTATTACTAAAAAGTTCGAGTGCAACATGCACAACTTTTTTGCAGCGAGAAAAATTTCAAACTTTTCAAACTGGTCCGGTTTCATTATGCTGTATTGTACATGCTCACCCTCTGATTTCGTCTAGGCTTATTTTTACATAGTACGTACTATGCAACGATAGTGAAGGAGGGAGAGAGCATGCAAACTTCCAGGCAGTCATATCCGCCAGCCTGCCAGCATCCAACAACTGGGCCAAACCAACAGGATTTCATTTCACGGCAGGCTTGGTCGATGTGGTATGGCATGATATGACACAAAGCCCATTCATTCTTCTTTTGTTTCGCATATAAATAAATTTGAGTGGATAGTGTCAGCCTCCAACAAGGAACGAGGGGGATGAGCTGGGTGCATGGTTTGTTGGCAGAACTGGGTTTATTTGTTTGTAGTCACCAGGAACCAGGATGATGATGATCATGAATAAAGTGAGGTCGCATTTCAAATAGAATATTATACGGTCTCGGCTTACGAAAAACAAAATCGTGTGCCATTTCATTTCTCCGCCGTGCTGACTGGCATGCAAGTGAAACCAGTATTTCTGGCTGTCGAGTTGCGAACCCCACTTTCATTATTTATTTGGGAGAAAGTGTGCAAAACAGAACGTAATTTGAACCCTTGTTGTTTGAATAATGTGAATTTTATGAAGCAAGTAATTTATTCTCCAATTGAAACTGAAGTAGGTGGCACGAAAGCCGTTATTGTGTTTTTCAGACTTTTTATTCCAGCAACAAATCGCTTAAACACTGATTGTCTCCAGCAAGGTTTTCAACAGGCTTTTCATCAGTTTTCCATTAAAGCACGTATGACGGTTTCGTTTAACTTTTTACAAATTGAAATTTTGTACAGCAAATCAATCTTAATGTCTCATGAAGGGTTCCAGATTGTCTCGTTAAATTTTCAAAAGCTGTCATTTGAAAAGAAAATCAGCAGACAGCTCTTTTTATACGCACGGTTTATGTGCGATAAAAAATGCAACCTCTTCAAAGTGACCGATCATCGCGATGATGGTGCTGATGTTACGTGCTTTACTTTCCCGAAGCACGGGAGAAGAATTGAGCCAAACAGAAAGTTGTGAGTTACAGTGTGACAAGAGACATTCAAAATATCCTGGACACACTTTTATGAAAGCATGATATTCCTAGTCGTCGCATTCTTCCTGAAAACTCTAACTAGAGTTCGTCCACAATCCACTTTCGCATTTTTGAATCTAGACAACGCGTGCTTTGTTAAAACTAGCATTCAATTCTTGTTGTCTTATAATGAGGTTTATTTTACAGAAGGTGAGCGTGCTTTCTTGCACAAAAAAAACATTGAAATGAATGTGCCATGCAGGGTAGAAGTTCACACAAATTATTTTTTAGTCCCAAAGCCATTCTAAATTTATTCCTGTCTGTTCATCACTTTTTTTATTGTTGAGAACAAAATTTGTAAAAGTAGGTGGTTTTATGGCACATATGACCCCTTGTAAACAGTTCATGAGGGTCAATTCATCAACAACTGGTGAAATGGTTCACGAACTTTC